ATACACCTGGGTGGAGAGAGGCACTGTGAGGGTAAAGTGTCTTGCCCAAGAACACAACACAATGTCCCTGGCCAGGGCTCGAACCTGGACCACTCGATCCGGAGACAAGCACACTAACCATGAGGCCACCGCGCCTCCCTCCGAAGAGTGAGACAAGAGTATTAAGGTTCAGGGAATGAAAGAAATGGAATGCAGATGAACATTTGGCAATCTCTTACTAACTAACTTTTGCTCTGAATTTTTCTGTCTGAACCTAGAGAACACTAGTGGAGACAAACCCTTATCTACTTGGTGTGACAATGATTGTCACATTGGTACACACTGTCTTTGAAGTTCTGGCATTTAAAAATGGTGAGTAATAGGTATTGTTACCTCAACAGTACAGGATGCAGGTCTTGGTTTTTGTTTGTTTGTTTGTGGATGCAGGGTCTGTATATATATATAGTGCATGATAGAATAAAACCTATCAAGACTTTGATATTTTGAACTTCTGGCCCTGTACTGAGACATTTTTCACATGACTTCTGTCATGGAAGACTACGACATATGACATTTCTCATTACTTGAGAAAGGTGCGCTGATGGCTCCAAAAGATCGTAGTAGCTTAATATCGTGACTCTGCCTCCAAAGAAAACTTCAGTTTGGTATGAACTGAACAAAATCAGGAAACAGCATTTTGCTGGTTAAAACCTATCCTACTTTGAACTTTTAAATACAGCCTGCTAGGCAAGGAGGTTGATGTGACAAGTCTGTCATAATGTTTTGAAGTAGCGCCATCCTCAAGGTGGCAGCTCTCCAAAAAGAGCAATCAAGTTTCATGCTTCTACTAAGTTCGCTTTGACTTTTCTGTTTTCAGACATCCAGTTCTGGCGAAGTCGCAAGACATTGGAAGGCCTTTCTGTTCGGTCTGTGTTCTTCAATGTCTTCCAGTCCGTCATAGTTCTCTTGTATGTTATGGACAATGAGACTAACACAGTCGTGATCATCAGCTGTTTTGTGGGGCTTCTTATAGAGATCTGGAAAATTAACAAGGCTGTCGACATTAAGGCAAGTAGACCCTTGTTCAAGAGCGTTATTATCAAATGATTTACTTTGCACTTACTTACATGTATCCCTATGGCCTCTGGAGGAGAATAGGGAATCCACAGGTTCACACCACGTTTTCCTGTTCTGGACCTGCTAGCCTGCAAACAGGCTCCCGGTTGGGTTTAGTGCGAGCCAGCCGAGTGTGGTCTAGGGCGAGCGGGGCTATCCGAGAACGGTCTGGTGACGAGGGGGAGCGCTTCGCTTGCGGACTTCGCCCGCGGAATTCTTCATTTGGCGCTAAACGGCTCAGTTCAATCGCCGGATTTTTTTCCGCCCTCGCTGGGAGCCTGTTTGCAGGCTATGGACCTGCGGAATGGGATAGACAAATTAATAGTTTATTGAAGCTTTAAACTCGCAGCTCTAGAGCTGAACTAGATAGAACATCACAAAAGAATTCAAATAATAAGGCCATGCTAAAATGTGGTCTATGAAAAAAAAAAACACGAAAATCGTCTTTATACGGTAGCTGTAGAAAAAGCTATTCTCTAGTCTGTTTATTTTGCAAATAGGAATGTACTCGATATCTTTGATTGTTTCTCAGATTAAATCTATGTTCGTTTGCCTCTGGTATAAAAACTGTATTATTTCCAGACCTTGAGCTAAGGGGGGAGGGGGTGGGGGCGTTTTTTTTGGCTTGTCCTGCCGGGTTTTCTTCCTCCGGCAAGTTTTGTTATTTACCCAAAATAAGGAGATCCCCTAGATCCGCCACTGTATTTGCGATCAGCATTAAATTCGTGATGTCCAGAAACATTTTGGCTGTCTGAGACTGTCTTTGATCAAGAAGTGTCTCTAAACTAGCAAGTCCTAGTGCCTCACGATAGGTGACATGCGGGACGATCATTCTCGTAGCACACTTCTGTAGGCCCTATAGCTCACCTGACAAGTTTTATCACATGATTACCATACATTTGATTTACTTACATATCTAATCTAATGTTATCCTTGTTAACGGCCATTGTACATTTTATCTTGCTGTAGGTGGATAGAGAAAACCCTTGGTTTGGTGTAATACCAAGAATAAGATTTGCTGACAAAGAAACATATGTAGAGTCTGAAACAAAACAGTATGACATGGTAAGGAGGCATGTTCTCATTTCAGGTTACTTGTATGATATTTATTATTTCCAGACGTACTAGCCAGACAATGGTGGCATTAAACTCTTACTGGGTTCCTCTGTATTACTTGGGGTATTGTCCACCCTACAGGAGGTGACACTTGTCGGTTGCAAGCTGTAGTACTTATTGAGAATTTGGGAGAATAGCTTCACAAATGCTTGTCATTTTTATCTATCAGTCTACTATTTTTCAATGGTATGTGGCCTGTTATGCACCAAACTGGATTTATGACAATAGCTACGTCCTGATTCACAGTCCAACACTTGGACGTTTCGGTCAATACCCTGCCCATTTGTACATTGATCACAATTCGTTCAGCTTAACAACAATGTGATGCCAAGCAGTCTTCTGACTTCTGACAGTCTTCTGACCAGCCCTTGACTTTTTTATCCGGTATGAATGAGGTACTAGTCCACCATGTCTTCATGTCCTCATCCTCCAGGGTACGTGTACTTGCCAGGTTTTTTGCGCGAGAGGCACTGAGGGTAAGAACACAACATACAGTTGTACCTTGTCAGCCCAGGACCAGGCTCAAAGTGCAACTGCTGGATCTCCTATCTGATACAGGTTCTGACTACAGTAATACAAGACATTCAATGTGAATAGTTTATTGAGGATACGTCAGGCAGTCATCTATCCCTAAACGTCCCGTTACAACCCGCGAGTGTTCCCATTGTGCCGTCAGAGTGAAAATTTCTGACTAACCATCAGGAATTACGTTTTCTACACCTGGCGCCCATTTCAACTAAGCTTCCCATTTATTTGTGCATTACAAAATGTGAGTGTAAGTTCCTTGAAAATATCTCATATGTTACTTTACAATTGTTTTACTTCTCCTCCTTCAGATGGCGTTCAAGTATTTGTCATGGGCTTTGTTTCCCTTGTTAGTCTGTTATGCTGTATATTCACTGATTTACGTTGAGCACAAGGGATGGTACTCTTGGATTCTTAGCATGTTGTATGGCTTTCTTTTGACATTTGGTGAGTTCATATTAAGTATCATAACAACACCTTATTCATATCTACCTCATGATTAAACTGCAACCAGCTTTTAATTGAGTCTAGAAGAATATTATCAAAAGACAACTTCTATTTGAAAAGATTTCCCCACATCAGCCTCAACTGCAAGCTATACATGTATCACTGTAAGTAGTTTCCGTGCAATTCTGAGAATACAAATATGGTCTTGCCCTCCCAACACCCCAGACCTACGAAAAAGTACAAATGTAACCCCCTTCCCTGAACTCTCAGATCTAAACTCTTTCCGATCAAGTCATACGATCTTTGATCGACTAGTTACCATGCAACATCCTTATATTGTTCTAATAATAATAAGGAAAGTCCCCTCTAAAGTTGTTGTTAATTGCTCTACAACTGAGTGTTGGGAATAACCCCTTCAGCAGTCTGCAGTGTTTTGCTCCAATGGCTCAACAGTTGAATCTGCTCCAGTGGTTCAACGCTCGGAGTTAAAGATTATAGCGATTGATGAAGAGGTTGTTCGTTCTGAACCATCTCAAAAAGTTACAAGTTGAAACCAGCCACTGAAAAGCTTTGCTGATAAGGTTAAGTGATGTTTTGGTTTGTTTGTTCAATGTTTGTGTAGGTTTCATCATGATGACGCCACAGCTTTTCATCAACTATAAACTGAAGTCAGTAGCTCACCTTCCTTGGCGCATGATGACGTACAAGGCTCTTAACACCTTCATTGATGACCTCTTCGCCTTTGTCATCAAAATGCCAACTTTGTACCGGCTTGGATGTTTCCGAGATGGTAAGTGTTTTTGAAGTTATCGTGAAAAATAGTCAGCCATTTCTGAGCCTAGAAGCTCAAGCAACGGTTCACGCTGGTTTCGTTTCTTGTCGAGTTCGGTAGGTTCGAGTTCGCTACATGTTCGCTACCCACAGGCTTGGCTCGGCAGTGAATGAAAGTTAACGCACGTTAAGTCTTTGGGCTATATATTAAGTGGCTCGCTTGGCTCGGCAGTGTTACAAACAAGCAAACAAGTCACAGCAAGCATTTATGCGGTATCGTAGATGCGTATGGTTGGACTGATTTTAGTACAGTTTATTTACGCGAAGTTTTAGTTTATCAATAATAGCGAACACGAATGAAATAGGTAGCGAACTGGAAGTTGTGGGTAGCAAGCACTTAACGAACTCGAACGTAGCGAACTCGACAGGCAGCGAAACCGACTCCTACCTGCGGATAGGATTTCAACAGGCACGTAACACGGTTGCATGTAAATAGAACAGTGATTAGTATACGGCGAATTTGACTGGAGCCATGCTCAAATGGGACACCTTAAAGGAGCTCTGTTGCGGTATTTTGAAATATTCTGGCCACGTACAAAATTGAAGGAAGCCTGAAAATAATAGTTTACTAAGATAGAAAAACATCCATGCGATAATGATAAACCATAAAGGAACAGGGATGGTTAAGGATTGGGAAGATTAATACGGACTACAAACGAAGAACTTGAAAAATTTAGGTTGAACTTTTCAAGATGCGCAACCCGAGATGTAGCTAGCTCCTTTAATTCCTTAGCGGCAACGGTAACGCGCGTAGCACTGTGAAGGCAGAAATCGAGAAGTTAAGCTGTGTGTGTTCTGTTGTAGATATTGTGTTCTTCATCTACTTGTACCAGCGCTGGATTTATCCCATTGATCCTAAACGTGTGAATGAATTCGGCCTGACTGGTGAGCCTGTTGATGGAACTGACACAGCGGATCCCAGCTCGCAGCAACCAGCAGAAACAAAACCTATTGAAAATGGTGCAGTTAGTGCTGATGCTGAAGTGGTGTCAGACAAGAAGAATGACTAATAATTAATTATCATCAAATTTGGCGCATGACAGATTTTAAAGTGTAAAAAGCTTTTGTCCTGTTATTGTACTCAGTGTACTCAAATTAAGCAGTTTACTTACTTACGTTCATGAAGGAGCGGTATTTATAAACATCCATTGTACCTTTTGGAACTAACTCTGCCTTATGGATGCAAAGTGTACCATAAAATGAGCTACATTACTTGCGAAAAATTTCGGACAAAGAAAGTGTCCGAAAGTAAAACAGTACCGTATGAAACTTTTAAATAGCGCCAAAGCCGCTAGTTTGCTTCAGGGAGTGAACTCCAGTTGAGAAACTACCCTAAATACCTAACGGCTTGATAAAATTTGTGTTATTTTTTTTTTGTCGGTGTATTCTAAAACCTTCAGGGTGCAGTGATGTTTCAAATTTGCTTATGCTATGTTTCAGCAAAGTGTCAGAATCTTTTGGTCCGAAATTTTTTTGTAAGTAATGTATCTGAATCATAGCAAACACACCGTCTATCAACAAATCAGAGGCAGCTGCTTGCTATGCATGGTATTCCTTGCCTAGTTCTTGTACGGCTTTCTTCCACGCCTTCACGGTCAATCGATTTCGGTGACGTATCCGAGACGAACGTCTCGCCCTAGATCACGTGACCTGAAAATGATTGACCGCGGCGAAATATTGAGGCCCAGGAACTAGGCAAACGTTTTCCCACAGCTGCCACTAGTTGCATGCCGTATGTGTTTGTTTCGAGCTCAGATGGGTTTGATGTCATATTTATGTTTACTTACATCGACCAGTTGTTCGGTTTACGATAGCCAATGGTAAGCCGCAAACCTGGCGTGTAGGTCTGCAATTCGTGCGGAGTACTTAGTGCCAGGGAATAATGCCTTTTTAAAATTTGTTTGTATTTGCCACGATGGGATTAAGAAGAAAACAGATCCTTCAATCGCAAAAACTGCAAACACAAACTGTGAGTTTTACATTTGCTATTTATCATATGTACAACTTATCATAGTGGATTGTAGTGCCTTGATTAGTGTATTAAATCTGGAAGAAAGTTGACTTGTGTGACATGAGTAAAACTAGATTTACATGTATCTTGCTAAGCACAAACGTCTTTCTCTCAGGCTTTTTCTGTTGAGATATTTTGCTTCAGTAACTGAGTAAATACGTGCATTTTCTTTAAGTTCTGACTTTTGGGACAAAAAAGGTCTTTTTCAAGTTTCCTTTTGCTTCGGTTTCAACGTGATGCTTTATGCAAAAAGTTTCGTACGAAAATGCATTTTTCATCACGCCTCGTTTTGACAGAGAGACAGAAGGGTATTCAATGTCACAAAGCCTTTAAATTATATATCCCATGTTTGAAAATATCGCGGCAGTTACTAAACAACGAGAAAATCACAAACTTGGTTAATAATTCTGTACTATTTCAATTTTTGTTTGTGTTGAACCTCTATCGAATGGATCGCTTTTAGCAAGTTGGAATCGTTTCTGACGATTTTTCTCACGATGTCGTAAGAGGCGTGACTTTTTTCAAGATAACTCTTGCTTACCTGACATCTCAAAGAAGCTGAGATTACTTTTTAAACAGTTTGTTATTTTCATCAACACGTATGAGGACCATTGAGAGAAACTCGGAAAGGTTTGTGCGAAGCGTTGTATTATAGCATTAGTGAGAAATTTTTGAAATACACAATTTTGCCTCGGTCTGTCCTTTTCCCTAAGGTTATTTCAAAGAACTTATAATATACTGTTACTATCTAACTTGTGCGAATGAAACTGATGAGTTACCTCCGTTAAATCATGAAATATCCTTCTCAATGTCTTATATTTTAACTTTACATTCTTAATAATTTAATCACAATCAAATCTGTACATGAAGCTCAACACAAGTAAGAATAAAAATCCCTTTGCTTTCAGTCTGCATTTTAAAATTCCAACCGACATCCGATTAAACTACTTCAGTACAAGGCAAATTCTTACGAAATTAAATTTTTGTCAAAGCAACGTGCAAAACTGACAACTTTTAATAGAGTGATACTTAAGCTTACTCTGTAAAGAATAATATATGTATGAGAGGCTAGCTGGGATTGCTGGAATCTTAGTTATCGGCCAAATGTTTGGCGATTTCTTAGCTACAGGGAAAAATATCAGCTCCTACAGGGCCCCCCCNCCCCCGCCCTCTTCACCCTCAGTTTTCGTAGGCGAGATGCGAGACAGAATCATGCTCCTAGTCTTGTGTGTGTAATAACGACCACAATTGAAAACGTACGAGCACATATCTATCTCCTAACTGTCTCGTCCGCACGATGTAGACCCGCTAATACAGTAAACTGTATTTAACAAATAAAGAAGCCTAAGCCGTGTATTACACTAGGGACTTTAAGCAGCGGGAACGCGGACGGCGACGGGGACGCCGAAACCTGTGAGAAGGCTGGGGAGAGAACGCCGTTGTCGCGAGAATTCACAAACATTAAGCAGCACCGTCGGAAACCGCGGTTTCCGCACTGAAAGCTTATTGACATTATCGATATTCGTCCTCTGTTTATCAGGAT